CTTCTCTTTCAGATGACCATCTTTGCCACAGTGGGTACACAGTAAATTATTTGAAACTGACACATATTTACTATGTGGGTTGTAAGGAGGCTCTATTTGTCTACAACTTATCCCTTTCCTGCTGTTGAACTGTTGGTTTGCTAAGTTAGTGAGGATCTTAGAGGAGTCAGTCCATTTGAGAGAGTGATTCAGTTCCTCCTTCATCTTAATTAAGTCTTTCATTAGTTGAGATTTTCTTTTTAGGGAGGCAACTAACTTAGACTCAGAAGCCTTAAGTTTCTCTTCTAGTTCAATCTCAAAGTTACTGAGTTGTCGTTTCCCACCTTTAAAGGTACCAGGTTCCTCATTGGGTTCCAGACTCTCAGTCTCAAGGATACTTAACCTGACAGTCAATTCAGACATTTGAGAGTTGAGAGCTAAGTTTTCGTTCTCACATAGACTCAACATTTCATTAGTCGTCAGATTTTCAGTGGTTAGTTCATCAACAAAGTCAATCAATAGAGAATCAAGTTTTCTCAATCTATTGATAGGAAGAGTATCTAGGTCATTTTTGAGGTCAAGAAGAGTTACCTTATTTATATCCCCTTCATTATCAGATTTTACCATTAGAGAGAACATGGAGTTGTAAATGGTCTCATAATCCTCCACAACCATTATTGAGACATCCTCCAGACTGTCTATGTTTTCCTTAGGCTCACTTAATGTGTTACCCCACACTGCTAGAGCTTTCTTCACCAGTTGATCGGTATGAGCTTTACTCTTGGCATAGTCTGGGACCTGGTCCCTTCGGTGAGGTCTGAACTCCTGAGTTTCCTGCTTCTGACTGGGGCAATCTCTCATAAAGTGACCAGGTTTGCCGCATTTGTGACAAAGATCATTTGCATTGGCAGTTCTATTGGTTGAAGCTTTCTTTTGAAAACTTCCATGTTTCTTGATGATCTTCTGAAACCTTCTTGTGATGTAAGCCATTTCATCATCCTCCTCAGTTACATCATTTTGAGAAGTTTTCAAAGTGATGGATTTCTCCTTCTTTCCTTCCTTCACAGTCGTACCCTATTTCTTGTTCAGCTCATAGGTCTGAAGATTTTTGATCAGTTCGTCTATGGGCAAAGTTATTAGATATTTGGCCTCTGTTATAGCATCAACCTTGCCTTCCCAAGACTTTGGAAGAACCTTGATAATCTTTAGAACTTGTTTGCTTATAGGGATAGGCTCACCCAAGCACCTAAGTTCATTGATTATGGAAGTGAATCTTGAGTTCATCTCAAAGATAGTTTCACCTTTCTTCATGCAGAAGTTCTCGTACTGAGTCATAAGCATATCGACCTTAAACTCCTTTACTAGTTGTGTTCCTTCGTGGGATGTTTGAAGACGGTCCCATATCTCCTTGGCAGTCTTACAAGCTGAGATTTTGTTGTATTCGTCTGCTCCAATTCCACACACCAGAATCTTCTTTGCTTTGTAGTTCTTTTCTATCTTCTTCCTATCTACTTCATTGTACTATTTTCTGGTTTTGACAGTTGTAATGATGAGCTCGCCATCCTTCACTTCCTTTGTAGGAATATATGGTCCATCAAGAATGATGTCCCACAGCTCAGTGTCCTCAACGTTGATGTAGTCATGCATTCGATTCTTCCACCAGCCATAGTATTGACCATTAAAATGTGGCGGCCTAGTAGATGACTGACCTTCCTCTATTTGGGTGGAACAATCATTCCTTCTCGATCTTTTCTTTTCTTGGTGTTAACCAAATTGAAAAGTGAAGCTCTGATACCACTTGTTGGAATGTATACGCCCAGCAGTGATCTCAGGACCAGGTCCCTCGATAGAATAACAATGTAGAAATAAAAGTGTGGAAAATAAATAGCACAAAGTAAATCAGGCACAAGAGTTTTATGTGGAAACCTCTTTGCTCAAGGGAGTAAAACCACGACCTGTCACACAGGACTTTTCAAACTGTTTTCAGTAATCTTCTCAAAGCAAAAGTAAAAACCAATTTACAACCACACATAGAGATTAACCTCTTAATTTCTAAACTAAGTAATACAACGATTACTTAACCAAGCCTAAGCAATGCCTGCATTGCCCACTACACTAATCCTCAACAATTAATGTAGATTTTTACAGTAAAACATAAAGTTACCCCTAACTATGTTCTTACAAAGACTCTCACAAGTTTTGAAACGTTTCTAACACAAGTGAAACAAATCCTACAAGTTAAGCTCAAATACAAACAATCAAGAACAACAACAGATACGAAAAGCTCTCCTTCAGTTGATCAGGTCCTTGTTGTAGGTGTTCTTGTGCTTGAGTTCTTCCTTGAAAATGGCCTTCTTTTCAAGCTTATGAATTTTCAGAGAAAATTCAAGTTTTTGTTTGCCAAATCTTGAGTTTGTGTTTTGTTGGAAGATACTATATTAAAATGAATACAAACTCCTTGGGACCGCCCATTGGATGAGAGCCTGCCTCTCTGGAAGGACGTGCACCTATCACATCAGAAGTGACAGCTTTTCTGACAGCTGTCTTGTCGTCCTTTCACATACACAGTCTTGCAGGGACCAGGTCCCTTGCAAAATTTTCTTGGTGATTTCTTGAGAAGACTTGCTGGCTCTCTCTCCTTTTGAATGAATGACTTAATTTGTTGTTTGTCATGTTGACTAAGTCAACCATAAAGAGTTATTGACCGTTGGACAAACAATTTCGTCCATTCTGATTGGTGTAGTACGCTGACGCCTCACCAATCTCTGACATGACGACTTTACAACTGTACCCCATTATAGATCTGGACGAGAGAACTTATCGAGGGACCAGGTCCTTGCATTTGTGAGGATCATCAAAATACCTAGAATATAACATTTTCCCCGTTTTTGATGATTACACACAAATATTCCTCACACTGAGTTTATTCATTTATTTCACTGTTATCAGTCCCAATAACAAAGATCTGGTTCCTTGTTAGATCTCTAAGTTTGTTAAATCATCAAAACTTAACATTAGCTTCAAAATAACAACATCAATAGGAAGAATTCATTCCAATAAATAGGTAGCTCTTAAGTCATTTTCAAAACATCCTCTCACTTGCTTTCTCACCTTCTAAGGAATTTGATGTTCTCTCTTGTAGTATTTCACTTGTATTTTTTGTAGAGTGAAATAAATATTAGTGTAGTTGTTCTTTGGTGGATGTAGGATCATTTTGATCCAAACCACGTTAAATATTATTGTTCTTTCCTTGTTCTTTAATTTCACGTTTCCACTAACGAATGAAAACTTGTATAAAAAATAAGACACTTTTGATCAGCCACAAACAACCTACATATGATAAGAGCCTAGTTATCCATATGGTTATCTTTTACATCATTTTACCAAGGAGTGGTTTACATTAAGATGTTGATAATGTTTTTGTATTCAAAGATACAACCTCCTCAAAATACACAACACTCTTACTATTATCGACAGCCAAACTAGAAGCCTTCACGTATATAACATTTTGATTAACTCTGGATCTACCCTACTGAACATAAGTAGATCAACAATCTATAGGTTTTTACATCTAGGATGATAAGTAAAATCAGAATTATGATTATCTGTAACAACGAGTACACAAATTATAAAAACTATTTTAAAAGTAGTAGAATTAAGACTTCATCTGATTGAATATGTCAATTAGAGTATCATTACTTTATCTAAAATTGGGGCAAAAGAGAAATCTAGTTTAATAATCAAGTAAAGAGTATGCTGGCTTTTAGAGAATGAGAAACAGAGTCCATTGATAGATAGAGAAATCTTCACGAGTCTCATCATGTCTCTCAACCACAAGTTGATGCATTGAACTATCAATCTTGAATACTATATATCTGTGGTTCCTTTTCATTTTCAACTCCGAAAATTTCAGCTTGCATTCATCACTCACTGCTATCCCTGAGGCTGAATTCGCCTATGCAAATGCCATAAATTTAGACAAAAAATATAATTTCTCTTGTTCTGGTATATATAGCCCTATAATGTATGGACATATTTGCCTCCCTATCTCATGTTCAATATGCACCGGAAATGTACCTCACGTTCAACAATGTGGTCTAGTGATCACGAGGTCTCAAGTTCAAATTCCAATAGAGACAAAAAAAAAGCACTAGATGAATTCTTCCTATCTACATTGAAAGGTACTAGCGATTTCAATTCTTCCTATCTACATTGAAATCTCTTTAGTAAGGCGGAACTAACAAAACCTCTTTAGTTGCCGTCTGATCTTAAATAATAAACAAACTGATGATACTATTAAAGCTGCTTTGAAAGGTACTAGGGATATTGAAAAATATCAAGCTGATGTGAGGGAAATATTAAATGAAAAAAGAAGGGTTGTAGGTGTTGATCAAAGTAATGCTACTGCTTTAGATGACAATTGGTTGCTGTCACTTTTGAGCAAAATCGTGTAGCTAAATGGATGTTTGTACATGTAATATTGGTCATCAAAAAGCTGCTGGAAACAGAGATGTTTTAGATGATCGAGAGTTAGCTTATGTCCTAAACCTAGAGAGATAGCAACAAAAAATTGTGAATGCTTCAGGTGTTTGAAATAATCAGTAAGTTGCTACTAATGAGGTGCAATCAAGAGAATTTGGACTAAAATTGCAAGTTGAAAACGAAAGAGCAACTGAATGTAACTGGAAATTGCAAGTTTTAAACGAGAATGCAACTGAAAATTGAAAATGAGAATGCTACTGAAAATTGCAAGATGACATAGGTCCTGAGATATTATGTCGTTCCATATTGAAGGAAAATGAATGATATGTTTTTGCTTTAAAATCCCCAAGTCTAACTTGGACGGCTGGGGGTTGACATTAATAAAACATAACACTAAAATCATCCTCGGTAAATAAATTTGTATTGGCATATACTTTTATTTAGATACTAATTTGATACTAAATGATGCTTAATATCCAGATGCAATAAAAATAACACACGAACTACAAAGAATTCTAAAACAGAAAGAGACTTAATTTCTACATAACTAGTCTTTCTATGTAACTATGAATGCCGCTGATGCGGTGGTTCGTAGGAAGCCCCTTTATTTCTAATTTTCTCCAACTTTGTCTTGTGATATCGTAACACGAGCATAAAGCACCCGACTCTAAGTTGAGGATGAATAAAATCTGCCCATCACAAAACATGCATGATAATATGATTTGGGGTATGATTTTTGGTGGTATGTGCTTCCACATTGAAGGATAGTGAATGATATGACTCTCCCATTCTTCTTCTTTTTGAATTTGTCCTAAAACCCGCAAGTGGAAATATTCACATGACCATTTTGGACAATTAATGATTGCTAGCTTACCCTTCACCTCTATCAACTCGTAATACCACCACTTAGATGAATTCTTCAATACAATAAGTTTGAAATTTCAGTTTTAAGATCAAATGCATCTAAAGCAAGTGTTTCTCCATGGTAAACAAACCTATAGATAACTCCATTGATGCAAACCCCGGGCTTGTACATAACAGATCTGGGAATCCTTTGAGTATTTCTCCATGATTTGTCTATGCCTAATGTGAAAACACATTGTTTTATGTACAATCCGCGACCATCTCGTGTCAAAAGAACTTTATACTTGTTTTCTTCTGGCTCAAAACCTAACCAATAGTAAAGGAGAGACTGATCATCATTTAGTTTGGGAAGATATCTTACTTCTCCTGTACTTAGGTTTAAAATTGCAGCAGGTTTCTGAATGCAAAATAAACCGTTAACGCAACTGATATCAGAACCTACAGGGATATAGAAGGGGAATTCATCAAAACTCCAAAGGCTGGAAGCAGAGATTTTTCCATCTCCAAATTCATAAACTTCCCTTCTGTCCAAGAAGTATTTTGTTTCACTCTGACGGATCATAGATTGAGATGTATGGATATCCGTAAAATATGATTCAAAAACAAGAGAATTAAAGAATTTAGTAACGCACTTGAAATGCATTAGTGATTTGACAGGAAGCCATGTGAATATTTGAATGACTATTTCTTCAGGAATTGATGGATTCATCTACTTGTACACAAGTTGGACGCTTTTTTTTTAAGGTCTAAAACCCTACTCTTATGGAGCATATATTTATGAGTTGATTCGTCAAGTTGGACGCCTTTTTTTAATGAGTTAGGACTTTTATTTTTCTGTGTCCAAAATAACAAAATTATTTTCTAAAAATAGGTCCCATAGAACGATGTATTACTAATTTTCCCCCTTTTCTCCTAATTCTAATAGAAAAGTGTACTATTTTTTATATTTTTATTTTCGTAGAGGCAAAAAGAGAATCCTAAAGTCATTAAACCTCATACAAATCAACCGATAAATATACGCTCCATGGAAGGTTTTAGACCTTAAACAAAAAAAATAATCCAACTATGAATCAGAAGAACATGAATTTATCAATTCCAAATGAAATTATGTTTGAAATATTCTCATGGCTTTTGGTCAAATCTTTATTGCGTTTCAAGTGTATTACAAAATTTGGTCAGTCTCTTGTCTCGGAATCAAATTTTGTGAATATCCATACTTGTCTTTCTATGACTCGTCGTGGCGGAACAAAATTCTTACTGCGCGAAAGAGAATCAATTTTTTTCCACTGCTGAGCAAAGATAAAGAAAAGACTCTGCTCCCTTTTTGCAAATTGCGAGATTTATTGACCTCTACCTCCCTGACCTTTCATATTGTCCATTGAATTGCGTTAATGGTTTATTTTGCGTTTGGGACCCATTCACTACACGATCTGCTGCAATTTTCAATCCGAGTACAAGAGAATTAAGATTTCTTCCTAACATAGATGAATCTGTTTTTCCTGGTAACTATTCATTAGGATTTGAGTTGGAAGAAAAGAAGTTCAAAGTTTTTTTGACATCATATCATGAACGGAACAATCAAAGACAGTGGGTTTTAACTTTAGGAATAGACAAATCTTGGAGAGAGACTAAAAGCATTTCCTTTCCTATTCTCTATTTTAAGCATAGTGTTTGAATTAGTGGAGTTATCTACCAGTTTATTTATGGTGATGCTATAGCTGCAATTGATGTTAAAACTGAAAAATCTGAAACTATTGCATTGTGGAATGATGAGTCACGTGTACTATTACGAGTTGATAGAGGTGAATGGTAAATTAGAGGTCATAGATTACAGAAAATGGGTAAGTGGATACTTTGACTTGTGGATTTTAGAGCAGACTCCACAAAGAAAATGGGAGAGACATATCATTGGTGTTCACTCAATATGGAATGCTTTAAAGCCTAGATTTGTATCATCCTTCATTGCCCATGATGGGGAGATTGTATTCGTCGTCATCTTAAAATATGGTGCTTGTTTGTGTTATGATGTCACAAGAAAGAGTTGGAGGTAATTAAAAATCATGGGATTTCCTAAGGAAAACTACATCAGAGGCATTTATAGTTATGCCGAAACTCTCGTTCCTTAGGGTCAATAAATGAATTTGACCCGCCAACAAAAATTGGAACACATTGAGTCTTTAAAAAAATTTCAATATAGACAATGGACTTCAGACAGAAATCTTCCGCCGTGAAGTAGGAATTTGGCTTAATTTCACTTAAAAATTGTGAAACAAAATAATTGTCAATTAATATTCAAATTAAAATAAAGGAATCACAAAAACCTTCTTTTTCAAATATGTATACCTAGCAAATAGTGTCGTACACCTTGTTTCTTAGTGTGTGTGATCTTGTTGGTCACTATTTCAAGTCCCTTATACACTTTGATTTTATCTAAGTTGATTATTTCTCCTCGAAAATGGGTGGCAAGGTTAACAGAGAGATGGGATTTTCCCATTCCTGTTGCTCCCATTCTGAACACCAATTTATTCTTGTTGAACTTGTTGTTGTTGATGATGAAAGTATTCATTATAGCTACACATAAAATAAAATTATATTAATAATTAGTTTAAAATAGTAAATAATCTCATGAAAACCACTCATGCATACACTCATACATTAAATAATCTTATTAATATAAGGTTAATAAGTAGAAACCTTGCTTGAGATGTAATAAACTTTGTAAAATAATATATTTTTCTTGATGTTGATTCTGAAACAGATTGCATTGAGCATTTATAGTAAAATGTATTTTGTGGACTTATTAATTATCATACAATATTCAGAAATACTGATATCTTTTAGGATAAGATCAATACCTTTTGAAAAATGTATAGATATGTCAACTGGAATTTTGGTAATGACAAGTAAATAATATTAGGATAAAGTTGACAAATGCACATTCTTTGAAGATCGCATATAACTGGGCATTTATAGTAAAAATGTGATTATGAACTTATGAATTGGTCTATTTCAAATTTTAAAAAAAATTCATATCTTTTAGGATATGAATATTATTGAAAAAAACCTAAAGATACGTCAGCTTGAATTTTGGTTATTAGGGTTAAATAATTTTAGAATGAAGTTTCTAGATACACATTTTTATGAGGTCACATGTCAGATTGACGAAAATATGGTTTTCAAAAGGATTGTAAAAAGAACTCAATAATATTTCTGAAGGAATACATTCAAGTGATACTGCATCAATTCATACACAATTTAACAACACGTCATACGTGCTAAGTCTAATTCAATTAGAAGGGAAGGAACAATTATCGATAACAATTTCAATTACAATTATTTATATTTCCTTGTGCAGCATGTAATAATAGCTAACTGTTTTATTAAATGAAGCATCCATCATCGTGATTGAATTAGGTAGAATATATTTCCTTAAATGATCCTTACCAATAGATTGCAAATTTTTTTTATTTTCTCTTCTTGGTATATGCAACAATTTTAAATTTGGAGTTAAGAATGTTAATCTTTAAAATTCTTTAAGGTTAGAATCTTCCCAAACATTTATAGTCATTTATTTTTTCACTTTATTATCTTGACATTAAGAATAATCTCATCTAATATTGTAAGAACGTCTTTATATTAATATATATTAAATATCATAGACTTGGACTAGGACTTGGCGCTTGGGATTCGATCGGACCTTAAAATAAATATTTTTATAAAGCTGAAATATATACTCTATAAATAACAATGATTTTACAAACAAGAAGAGTATATATATCTGTAGTTTGATACAAACTGTACAAAATATATGAAACATTACAGTGACCAAGAGAAAAAATAACACAAGATAGAGATAATGATAGTTTATGTACACTCAATACTAATATTGTGATCATCATTTTAGAGAAATCTTTCCACAATATCTAGAGATGGTTGCAAAACAGTATTCCTCCATTCTTCGTCAACAACTTCTTTTCTCTCTTCTTTGAAAACGTCAGCAGCAATAATATGATGCACCGACCACATTTTCTCATTTATTAATCGTTGAATCTTGTCAAGTTGGTTACAAATTAATATACGAGTATTACGCTTGATACTTGAAATTGAAGCTTGAAGAATCATCTTCTTTGATTCATCATCTCCGTCTATATTTTTTTCTTCCCTTAAATATTTGGCCATTTCAGGGACACCAATGGACCGTCGGATTCCTTTGGTGTAATCTGCATCTGGAATGTAAAATTGCCGCACCTCATCCACCAGCCCTGCATGCAGCATAAATTTAAGAATAGTTTTATTTAGGTGAACATATATTTGAAAACCGAAAGTATTATTAAGAAAACTATATAAGAAAAGTTTTAGTTAGAGTCATTATTATATTTTGATTCATATATAAAATAACTACAAAAACTACCTGCATTGACCATTTCATCAACCCTCGTGTCAACTCTACGGTTCAAGACTGATTGCTCTACATCAATCCAAATAAAGCAACTGTCATACTTATGTTTGAACATGAATACAGGGTCTTCCACAAGTTTTTCAATAAACGAATTTGACCCTCCAACAATAATTGGAACACATTGAGTCTTCAAAATTTTTTCTATGTATTCAATGCTCTTCAGACAGAAATCTTCGGCCATGAAGTTGGAATCTGGCTCAATTTCACCTAAAAAATTATGAAACAAAATAATTGCCAATTAATATTCACATTAAAATAAAGGAATCACAAAAAAATGTCTTTTTCAAATATGTATACCTAGCAAATAGTGTCGTACACCTTGTTTCTCAGCGTGTGTGATCTTGTTGGTCACGATTTCAAGTCCCTCATAAACTTGCATTTTGTCCGAGTTGATTATTTCTCCTCGAAAATGTGTGGCAAGGTCAACAGAGAGACGAGATTTTCCCGTTCCTGTTGCTCCCATTATGAACACCACTTTCTTCTTGTTGAACTTGTTATTGTTGATGATGAAAGTATTCATTTTAGCTACACATAAAATAAAATTATAATAATAATTAGTTTAAAATAGTAAATAATCTCATGAAAACCACTCATGCATACACTCATACATTAAAAAATCTTTTAAATATAAGGTTAATAAGTAGAAACCTTGCTTGAGATGTAATAAACAATGTAAAATAATATATTTTTCTTGATGGTGGTTATGAAAGAGATTGCATTGAGCATTTATAGTAAAATGTATTTGTGGACTTATTAATTATCATACCATATTCAGAAATATTGATATCTTTTAGGATAAGGTCAATGACTTTTGAAAAATGTATAGATATGTCAACTTGAATTTTGGTAATGACAAGTAAATAATTTTAGGATAAACTTAACAAATGTACATTGTTTGGAGATCGCATATAACTGGGCAATTATAGGAAAAATGTGATTATGAACTTATGAATTGGCATATACCAAATTTAAAAAAAAATCATATCTTATAGGATAAGAATAATTCTTGTAAAAAGCCTACAGATACGTCAGCTTGAATTTGGGTGATTAGGCTTAAATAATTTTAGGATGAAGTTTCTAGATGCGCATTGTTATGAGATCACATACAAGATTGACGAAAATATGGATTTCAAAAGTATTGTAAAAAGAACTCAATATTATTTCTGAAGGAATACATTCAAGTGATAATGCGTCAATTCATACACTATTTAACAACACGTCATAAGTGCTAAGTCTAATTCAATCAGAAG